ACTAAATTGCTTAATAGTCTAGCACCACCCATTAGATAGGACCCCCTAAAAGTAATCCCGTATTTAATGGCTTATACTTTATAATTAGATAGTTTAAAAAAGAAATTATCTCAAAATTTCTCTCAATATATTTTTTTTAATTTAATATTGACTTGAGCATTAAGGAATCTCTTAATAGATCTGATAAGTTGAGATCTAGGAGTGTAGATTAATTAGAAGCGTGAATGGAAGTCTACTACTGAGTTAGCTTTGAATATTGGCATTAAGAAATTAGAAGTGGAAAATGATTCCAGCTTTGTTGCTCCAAATGCTCCCATTTAAATATATTTCACTAAGCACTTGTCGCTTATTGCTATCGTTGATCTAGAAATTTGAGTGTGCTTGTCAAGCACACCTACCAGAAAACAAATGGAATTGTGAATACACTTATCAAGTGTGGAGCAATCATGGAAAATACTTTTGTTTATTTTGATTCAGTTCCTCCTTTTTGTTTTTCTTGCTTTTTTTCATGATCAGAATACTTTTACTGTATATCAGATTTCATTTTGTAAAACTTAATTTTGATTATTGAAATTTCCATTTGCATAAAAAAAAAGAAAGAAAAAAGAAGTGAAGTCTACTTCCCTTAGCTAATAAATGGATCAACAAAAAGATGCTAGTTTCACAAGTGTTTACGGAAACCATGATTATATACTTTAGATTGTGATCAAAACATGACAACCTTTGTCCACTCGTAAGGGAACAGCTACGGTCATCTTACAGGATAAGTCCGGCTTCGGGGTGGCCAGTTTCTTTGTTTTCAAAGCGGGTAAAGCCCACCCCCAGCTGGACTTATCATCTCCTGAGGTAATTACACTTTATTCTTCACTTAGCATTGACGCTTGTGCTGTCTAAATTTAAACAATAATTTTCTTCTTCATATGAAGAAGGTTGTTTTTAACGGTCTATATAGTTGTGTCAATCCATCAACTGAGATAGTAAATTTATAAATCAACAAAAAGAAACTAGTTTCATTAATACTTACGAAAAACTATGATTACATACTCTGGATTGTGACCAAAATATGACAACCCTTGTCCACTTGCAATGTGTTTTATATTATATGAAAGAAAAATGTGATTTTAAATGACAAGTGTGATGTTGAACTTTGAAAAAGAGAGATCTCTTAATTATTTTGTTTTTGTTTGTTTCACATTTTTATTTGAGATCAAAGTGCAAATTTTATCCTTGGAACCTTGAGGAAAGAAAAAAAAAAAAAAAACGGAAGCCGTACATTTCTCAAAAGAAAATGCAAGTTACGAGTCTTTTCCCATTACCCATTTTGATTTTCCTCCTTCTTCTTCAGTGGATGTCTTCTTCTTATACAAATTTGGGACGCATTTGACATCTTTAGCAATTAAACAAAGCAGCACTTCCTTCCACCATGTTTTCTCTATTTATTGAAACAAAAACAGCATTTTGCCTTTTAACCTAAGCATTTCTTTCATTTTACTCTTCTTAATTAATAATCTTCATCTGTAATTAAAGTGAAAATGAGACAATTTGGAGACATGAGGCATAGGCAAATTATTAGTTTGGGATTTAGTCTTTAGATTATTACACATTACAACTATAAACTTCAATTCATGCGTACATTGGAATCATGGGTTTTTCTTTTAAGTACTTCACTGAAAACATTGTCCCCTCTCACGTGTGATATCTTTTTATTACAGGCTTTTCAACTTTTTCATTCTATCACTCTTCTGCCTTTAACCATGTATTCATCACCAAGCAACCTCTCTCTCTCCTTAGGTCTCTAATGTGTGACATTTTTAAGATTTAAACATTAATTATTACATACTTTAATTGAATATTATTATTTAAAAAAGTATTATTTTTAATATAAATTTAAAAATAAATAAATTTAAATATATAAAAATGCATACAAAATGTACAAATAAATTAAATTGAATTTATATTATATTTTTAATAATTGAATCAAACAAATATTAAAAAATATATCAAATTAAATATGTACTAATCATTTTTTTCTAAGACTTTATTTTATGTAGTTTAATTTAGGAACCAATGGTATTGATTGTGTAATGTAGATTATTTTGTTCCCACTCTTTTGTTCTTAGAGATTCTCATAAAATTTTTTCTTGAGTTCCAATGAGGGATGAACAATCATAATATATTTTGATCAAGAAATATTACAATTACAAAGAGTAAAATTAGAAAAAGAATGCAGAACTCTCTCTGTCTCTTTCTCTTTCATTCCTTGGGTCTCTAATGTGTGACATCTTAGACTTTAGGCAAAATGTAGTTTAATTTAGGAACAAAAATGGTATGGTATTGATTTGTGTAACGTAGATTATTTTGTTGCCACTCTTTTTTCTTAGAGATTCTCATCATAAAATTTTGTCTTGATTTGCGATGAGGGATGAACATGGCAATATTTCGATCAAGAAATATTACAAAGAGTAAAATTAAAACAAAGAACGCAGAAGAGTTAACAATCAACGAGAATATGGTAATGACTACTAATTTATTTATTAAGTTATTAAAATTGTATTTTATTTAATTAATATTTATAATTTTTTAAATAAATAATTATGATATTTAAAAATATTAATTTATAAATTAATTTTAATTTAATAAATAATAAATATTAATTATTTTAATATTAATTATTTTTAATAATCAAATCAAATAAAATTGATTTTTTTTTTTAACAAATGACTTTAACCTAAAAAAAAAAAATAGTGACGACAGTCATGCCCAATTCACAACCTTCCATTTTCGACTTAAAGCAAGTAAAAACGAAGGCACAATTTTAAAACTAAGAAACTCCCATTACATTAATAGATAATTGCATACAGATTTCTGAATTATACCCTAATTTACATGGCAAAAATCCCGACAATAGGCAATAACCACAAACACCAACATTTTTACCTAGACATTTCCTTATTCCTTAAACACTCAAATACATTACATAGACAATCTCTCCTTTTTACTCTCTTTTTTCTGAAGAATCTGCCTAAGATCAAACGATCCCATTTCAGATTAGTACTGCAACAGGTCAGAAGAAGCCAAGATAGGCTGATTCAGGGAGGCCATGTTGAAGTGGTTGAGGAAGCTGTCAACAGGCACAACGAAAGCAGCACTTGTGTCCTCAGCCTCAAAGGCAGCATTGCCTTCACTCAGGACACTGAGGATCTCATTCAAGGACTGCAATCTGTGAGTGAGTTCCCCAGCCCGAGCTCTCAGCACAGAGTTCTCAGCCTCAATGTTCGCAAAGAGCTGTGTGGTGATGTTTATGCTTGTGATGATCTGGTGATTCTCTTCTGTCAGCTGAGCCACCTGTGCCATCAGATCATTCATATGCTTCTGCTTCCTCATCCTTGACCTCCTTGCTGATTCCCTGTTGGGCATCATCCTCTTCCTCTTTTTCTGATCCATCAATGCCCGCAAATCTTCCTCAGAGCCAGAGTTCTGCATTAGAGATGACCCTGAAGATGTGCCACTAGAGGAAGCCATGGAAAATGGATATGATTCTTGCAGTTTCGAGTTCCAAATTTCAAACACAAAGAGTAAATCAAGAGAGACAGATAATAGCAGGACCCAGATATATAGTTAATAACACGAATAATGCAGATAGTAGTAATATTACTAATTATAGGCTATATATAACACTAATTAGCAGGTTTCAAGGTAAAAATCATGAAACGTAGTATAAAAAGTAGAGGAAAACAACTGAGAAGGATTGAACAAGATGGGTCCTGCGCCTGAATGTGAATTTTATCATACACCCAAAAAGAAGGATTTCAATGAGAACTGGAGACATGAATCTCAAACATCAAGAACAATATATTAAGCATGAAGAAATCCCTGAAAAGAAAAAAAACAACCAAAACAAAAAGAAGAAACTGTCACTTTGTGTTTGAGGAAATGCCTCAACCACACCAACACGTTAACTTCGAAGAAAATAGAAGAAAAGTGAAGATCTTGAAGATGGGTAATGGATTTTGGATTCCAAAGGATCAAAGTTTGACTGCAAAAAGAAGACCCAGATACATCAAGAGGAAGCAGAACAAGAACAGAATATCAGAATATGGACATGGAAATATCTTGATAGAGAAATCGAAAGGGAGAATGTAAAGTAGAAGAGTTTGCAATGGAAGGGAAGGTGGAATTTATAGAACCAAAGGGGCCAACGAGTTGACGGAAATAATTGATTTCCGAAAATGAGGAAAATCAGAAAAAAAAAAAAAAAAAAAAAAGTAAACAGGTAGAAAATTTTGAGATTGGAAATTTTGGAATCTCCTGTGTGAGGAAAGAAAAGTTTGTTGGGAAAGTGGATGGGACATGTGAGGCGGAGTGAAAAAAAGACAAAGAACTGTCCAGATACAGCTGGGAACCAACTATTCTGGAATTCATCTTAACACAATGGTAATAGTAGTTACGGTTTTAAGACAAAGAACGGTCCAGAACTCCAGATACAGCTGGAAGCCAACTATTCCAGTAATCATCTTAACACAATGGTAATGATAGTTATGGTTTTTGTAGATTGTGTGGTTTGGGAATGTAATTATTGTATTTTTATAGTACTTAATCATATTTTTTTGGTATTGCTTTTTTAATATTAAAAGTTACGTTGAGGACTTA